TAGGAGCTCAGGTGGCGCAGTGCCTAAGGCTTTTGACTGCTGACCAGAAGGTTGGTGGTTCAAACCAACCAGCTGCTCTATGGAAGGAAATGGGACAATCTACGTCCGTAAAGATTTACTGCCTCGGAAACCCTATGTGGGTCACTATGAATCAGAATAGACTCAGTGGCAGTGGGTTTGGTTTTTGGTATCCTATGTTATGAGAAAAAGCAGATACCATCATTTACACTTGAGAAGTAAAGAAATAAGAATTTTGGAGCTGTAGGAAGGGCTTACCAGTCATCCTGTTGAACATTCTTAGTAAACAAAGAAATGAAGGGTTACAACCTGGCAAAGGTCTTATGGTAAATTATTAGCACTAAACAATTCAAAATCCATTGTTCTTTTCCCTGAGTCAGGAGCTCTTAGCAAAATAAACATCGTAAAAATCCACCTTGACTCTCAGGGCAGTATTGCAGACAAGACCCCACATACCTTACTTAATTCTGGAGTTTTGTTTTAAAACTAAAGTAGAATTTTTCAAAATTGATAATAATGGAAGGCCTTCATCTTTAGCACTTCCTTTTATAGCTATCAGATAAAAGAATCAGTGATCATTAAATATTGAAATAAATTCTTTATCATTACTTTGTTGTTGTTGTTATTTGCCGAGTTGGACCCAACTCATAGCGACCTCTCTTTGGGTTTCCGAGGCAGTTTCACTATGGAAGTAGGTTGCCCAGCCTTCCTTCCAAGGAGTGGCTGGTGGGTTTGAACTGCCAGCCTTCTGGTTAGCAGTCAAGTGCCTTAGACACTACGCTACTAATGTTCATAAATTCTTTAGTATCAAGCATATTCATGCAAACCATGACACATTACAAACCACAGGATCTACAAGAATAGTGTTTTATTTTCTTTTATTCAACAAATCTTTGTTGTGCACTTTCTGAATTTTTTTAAAGGTTAGGAAATGCAGTAAATACTGTAAGAAAAACATTAACTTTTTTCTTTGTCCCTTTTCAGACTTGAAACTCTAAATTGTGGGAGATGAACAATAGAAATAGAATTGAATCATAACATACAAGTATTTTTTGGTTGTATATAGCAAAATCAAACTAAATATTTTATGTGCTTTAATTTTACTTATTGCCATGTCCTACCATGTGATTTTTTACCAGGCTTTATTTTTACTAAGGAATCTGGTGGAGCAAATAGTTAATGTGCTCAGCTGCTGCTAAATGGGCAAGGAGGCAGCATCTTCTGACCTCCTCTAACTACACAAGAGGAAGACTGAATCATGGCCAGCAGCCCAAGGCCTGTTACTATGAGGCCAGACATGCTGCCACCCTCTAACCCTCTTACCAACCTTGACACCAAGTGTCCCTCCGTGGCACCTACCACCTCTTTGCTGGGTTCAATAATTTGCTGCAGTAGCTACACAGAACTCACAGATAATGAGTTTATTACGGAAGCAACAGGCTACAATGAAAGGTCAGGAATGCGCCTCTGTCTCAACTGCGTGTTTCTCACTCAGCGGCACGTCTCTCAACAGCATGTCTCTCTCAGCTGGCAGTCAGATGTCTTCTGCCTCTAGGAGGGCTCATTTTGAGCCTAGCAGAGTGGCAACCAATCCCAACATCAGAGTTGTACACACCAGAGAGAGAGAGAGTGAACTTTCCCAGAAGATTACTTTGTACTGCTCCAACAGAAATAGCCATGACTTTAACAATCAGCTTAAATTGCATGGTCCCACCCAATAATCTAGGAGCTCTGGTAGCGTAGTGTCTAAGGCATTTGACTGCTAACCAGAAGGCTGGTGGTTCAAACCCACCAGCCACTCCGTGGAAGAAAGGTTGGGCAATCTACTTCCGTAGTGATACTGCCTTGGAAACCCAAGGAGGGGTTACTATGAGTCGGATACGACTCTGTGGCAGTGGGTTTGTGTTTTTTTTTTGGTACCCAGTAATCTGGTGGGAGTTGCAAAGACAGTGGCTAGAAAAGCCATACCATGTAATTTACCACACTGTAGCTGCTAACTGAAAGGTTGGACGTTTGAGTCAACCTAGGGGCACCTTAGAAGAAAGGCCTGATGCTCTACTTTTGAAAAATCAGCCATTGGAAACCCTGTGGAGCACAGATCTACTTTGACACACGTGGGGTCACCACGAGTCAGAATGGACTAGTTTTAACTTTTGAAAATATTTTATATATTAGAGGTAACAAAGTATAGTGACAAAAGCAGACTGTGAGAATAGTTCTAGGTTATTCCCTAGTTCCAGACTTAACAACTCTGAACTTCTTATTCCAGATTTATGAGAGTTATAATAGCTATCTCATGGGTTGCTGTGAGAATTAATAAAATGACATATCTTTGCCACATAAAAACTTAAAGAGTCAGTTGTTGTTGTTGTTGTTGTTATGTGCCATCGAGTCGGCCCCAACTCATAGCGACGCCTCCTTGGGTTTCCGAGGCAGTATCACTATGGAAGTAGGATTGCCCAACCTTCCTTCCAAGGAGTGGCTGGTGGGTTTGAACCGCCAGCCTTCTGGTTAGCACAAGTGCTTTAGCCGCTATGCTACCAGAGCTCCCAGTTATGACAGTATTTTTCCATTTAGCCATCTTTTGGTCATATAAATATATATATTTTAATTAAAAAATAGGGTCCATAAATGCAGTTGCATAGAAAAAAGAAAAAAAAGGACACTGTTTTCTGGTGGCACTGTGCCTAAAGCATTTGACTGCTAACCAGAAAATTGATGGTTCAAACCCACCAGCCTCTCCGTGGAAGGAAGATAGGGCAATCTACTTCCATAAAGATTTACCAGCTTGGAAACTCAGTGGGAGTCGCTGAGTAAGAATTGACTTGATGGCAGTGAGTTTGGTGTGGTTTGAGTTTATTTTGTAGTGGTGCTAATGTTCTTTTCCCTTGGAGTTTGTTCTACTTGTGTGTAAACTTTACAGTTATTTTCAGACCTTTAATGATTTTCTATTAAATAAAATTGGGTAGAGAGTGCCAAACTTTAGTTACTAATTCATGTTTCAGGCATTTCAATTGTTCTGTAAAATCATCTAGATTCATTTACTTTTATTTTCAGCCCTATTACTTACTCCTGGGAAGGTGGAAAATTGATATCAGAGAATGATGATTTTGAAGATATGGTGGTGACAAGAGAAGATTATGAAGAAAATGGACACAGCATCTGTGAAGAGAAATTTGACATTTAAGAAACATTTCTGAATGGAAGTCTAGAGTGGTTGGGACTGTAAGGATTTATTTCAATATTCTTCATTTTAAGGGAGTTAAAGACCTGTTACCTTTCAGTTTAAGATAGTTTTGAATTTATGTATACCTTTCAGTTTAAGATAGTCTTGAATTTATGTAATGTGCTCCTTAAATACTTTTTGATCCTTTTTCAAAGATTGCTGAGCTACGTTATTACAGAAGACTGTAATTCAACTGACATTTTCATTTAGGACCTGGACTGTCATAACAGCACTCACACTGTTTCTAAATGTAGGTTAGCTTTCATTAGAAGATGAAAGAGTGAATACGTTTTAAGTCTTCACAGTTGAAAGCCGGAACTTACTATTTTGCCTGTCAGTTTTCCTTAGAAGGTAGTTTTGTGCCAGGAATTGGGAAAAGTGTGTTCAGTCTGATATGATTTATCTCTTGTAGAAACAAATATTTTATTAAAAGAAAACTGTCACTCTTATTTACATATACTAAAGGGAAGAATAATTCTTTGCATGTATAATGTTTCTCTTTTACTTGGAGTAAGTTTGAAAGGGGTAACTAAAGCTGATTTACTAATGTATTTTTGGTCACAATTTTGTTGACAGAAATACATTAATTCACTGATAAAAATACTGACTTCTTTAAAATTGTGGTGGTTATGTTTGTCTGTCAAACTTGGCTGGGCCTGGTTGAGTGGCTGGGCACCTGGTGGTAGTTATTCCCCATGATGAGACTGGCAATCAACTCCATGGTGGGATCTACCACAAGCAGCTGAATAGCTGCCTTTGGGATGTTGTCTGCTTCCTGTATATAAGCAGCAGCTTTGGGAATGGTCTCTAGCCTATGGCACACTTGGACCCTGCATGTAGCTGTGTCGTTGTTCAGCAGCCTGCCATACTCTGCCGACCTTGGGACTTACAGTGGACTTAAATTAATGGCCTGCCATGTGGTTTGGTAACATCGGGACTGTGCCTTTTTATTTGTTTTTTGGATGAAAACAAATTTGAAGTTAACTTTGGGTTGTTCAAAAATTCTTGATACAAATGTTAGTAATTTTGTTCTAAAAACTGTTTTATACAATTCACAGCAAGTATATTAAGGTGTTAAAGTCTACAGCTTCCCAATGTTAGGAAACAGCTATCAGTGACATTAGTGAGTAGATCAGATAGAGTTCTTTAAAGAACTCTCCACTTTAAGTATACTTTGACTGTATTGAATTAGGGCCTGGTCAGTCCTTCCTAGACCTTGACTACCTATCATTACAGAGTTGCAAAGGGACCACATTTGGGTGATACTGTTATTATTAACAACGTGGACAATGTAACAAGATGTTGGTGGGATAAAAAAAGTTTTTGCAGACAGTGTAACTGTGCTAAAATTTAAAGGTGATGTGGTTGCATGTTGTCTTAGTAAAATCAAAACCAAACCCTCTGTCAGTGACTTAATTCCAACTCATAGTGATGATGTAGGACAGAGTAGAACTGCCCCATAGAGTTTCCAAGGCTGTAGATCTTTATGGATGCAGACTGCCTCATCTTTCTCCCATTGAGTGGCTGGTAGGTTTGAACTGCTGAGCTTTTGGTTAGCAGCCAAATGCCTTAGCCACTGCACCACCAGAGCTCCTGAAATCTTGGTAAGTACCCACTTAAAGAATTGTCAGAACCTCATCCTGGAGAAGCATAATACTATCACGAACCAGGGTGCTTATTCTGTGAGCAAATGGGGTGTCTCTCAAAGCTACCTTCCCACTACATGCCCTAGCCTGATGTCTCCTGCAGTGTTCTGCTGGGAGTGAATGATGTGGACACACAAGCACACATGCTTATTACTACAGTAAACTGTAATTGCTGTATACAGTGTAGGTTTCCTAGTGCTCTGAAATGAACAAACATAGAACTTAATCATCTCTAGCATCAGTTTCTATCCAAGATATACCTCATTTTGAAACTTTATTTCTAGAGATACTATTTTAATATTACAGAAAGCTGACTTCAAAGAGAACACTTAACAGTTCTAAATAATAACATTATCTGATGCGATGTGTTAAAGATAGACTGAGCAATCTACTCCTGTAAAGATTTACCTCCTCAGAAACACAAAGGGGGTCTCTATGAGTTAGAATTGACTCGATAGCAGTGAGTTTGGTTTTTGGTTTAGTATTTTGGAAAAATATTTATGATCCTAATTTGAGACTTTTACCAAGAGTATAGATCTTAGCCACATCGGCTTTACCATTTTTATTGCAATTTAAATGCACAGAAATAACAAGTTTTGTTTTGGCCATGCATATTATACACGTTAAGAGATTAGAGGATTAGTATTCTAGATCAATGAGTGGTCAAGATACAGCAATCCTCTTAAACACTTTCCTACCTTTGTTTTGAATTTTTGAAACTAATAAGAGTTGGGGAGTGGGCTTGACTCAAACTGATATAATGCTCACCTACTTCTCTTCCTTTCCCAAATCCCTTCAAATGATAGAAAAATACTAGGCAAAAAAGGCTTAAGATACATAGAAAATAAGTAATATGGCAAAGTAAGTCACTTCTTATCAGTAATCTTAATGAATGTAAATAGACTAAATTCTCCAATCAAAAGGCAGAGAGTGGCAGAATGGATTTTAAAAAAGTATGATCCAACTCTGTGCTGATTATAAGAGACATACCAAGGACACAAATAGTTTGAACGTAAAGGGATGGGGGAGAAAAGTGAAAACGATGCAAGTAACAACCAAAAGATTGTTGGGGTGGCAATATTAATATCAGACAAAGTAGACTTTAAGTCAAAATCTGTCAGAAGAGATAAAGAGTGACAAAAGGATCAATTAATCAAGAATATTTAATAATCATTTATGCACCAAACATTGAGGCATCTAAAAATAAATAAATGATAGAAAAATACTTATCTGAAGAACGAATAGATCATTTCTAGTGGGTAAGGGAGTAAGGGAAACGAGATCCGGCAAGAACACACAGGGCATATCATGCCATTTGTGATACAGTATTTCTCACGTGGTGGGCACGTGAATGCTCATTACAGTAGACTGTACTGTATGCATGAAATACTTCACATTATATTTTGTTAGATGATTAAACTCCTAAGTGATTCTAGGACACAAAGTGTACCATGAATGGAACTAGTGTGGAGAAATTTCTAAGTTAGAAAATAATGAGATTAGATTTTAGAGAAACAAGAAGATCCGTATTACAAATCAGGGCAAGAGACAACCACCAAAATGGTAAGAACAATTCCAGATATATTTTAATCTACAAGCAGATCAGGGGTAGCTGGTGGCACAGTGGCTAAAGCATTCATCTGCTAAGCTAACAGTCAGCAGTTTGAATCTACCAAGCGCTCTGTGTGAGAAAGATGAGACAATCTGCGTCCATAAAGACTTAGAAGCTTGGAAACCCTGTGGGGTAATTCTATAGGATCTCTACAAGTCAGAATCGACCGGATGGCAGTAGGTTTAGGTTTTTGGGTGTTGCCCTACTCATTTCCTTGATACTGATCTTCAACACTAAGTGAAGAGGTTGAAGTCTTTAAGGGTTGGGGAAGCAGAATAGAATCTGAAGTAATTTCATATCCCATAAAGGCATTATTTTTTTTTTTTTCCTTTCATAAAGGAGCAGCTGATTGTGACACTGCATTCTAGCTAAAGCCAAGAGCTGAGTAAACTTTGGACAAGGCAGGGCCCTAGGGAATTGGCATACCTTTTTCATGAGTCTCCTCCTCCCCAACAATATAAATAAATTAGATCTTATATTCACTGACAAGCAAACAGGAATTTACAAATGAAAAAAGTGAACAGACAATCTAGAAATAAGAGATTTGATGGAGGCTGAATAGCACCGGGGAGTCCGTGGGTGGTGAAGTAGTTAACACATTGAGGTGCTAAGTGAGAGGTTGGAGGGTTGAGTCCACCCAGAAGTGCCTCAGAAGAATGGCCTGGTGATCAGCTTCTGAAAAATGAGCCACTGAACACCTAGGGAGCACAGTTCTACTCTGACACTCATGGGGTTGCCATGGGTCGGAGTTATCTCAAAGGCAGCTTCAGAGAGGCACCAAATCCAACCACCGAGAACAAATCCCTAAGTGAATGCAATAAAGGAAACAAGAGAAACTAAGTAGTATCTTCCAAGAGACTCATGAGGCAGTTGCATCCATTGCAACAAAAATAGGCTTTCAGAAATTGAACATAAGATTACTTTTACTTATGAACACTACCAAAGACTGAAAAATATTCGGAAAGAAGGTAAGGGAATTTTTCCAGAGTGTAACACAGTTGCATGAGCACTGGGCTGGCTAGGGAAAGGGGCTGATCAATATCCACAGTATAGTAGGGTATTGTCCACTTGAATATTGAAAGCCCTCTCTCTAGAAGGGGTCTTTTGATGGGCTTTCATGGCCCATTCTGCAATGTGCATCTACATAATTCTTTTCTACAGATTCTAGTAACCAGATTTCTGATCTTGTGGTTTTCAAATTTCTGATCCTATGGTCAAACCATTAGCTGCTGTCTCCAGCTACTATGTCTTGACGCAAATGAAACCACAAGATACGCTGTTTTGAGTTCTCTCTGGGAACAGCATTTCCCTTCCCCACTGCCAGTTAGGCTTGCCCAGCAGCATGCCATTATCCAGCGGAAGTGGTACACACAAGACTGGACTTGGGCTGGTCCTAAGGGCACAAGTAAATTCCATGAGCTCAGTCAGTGCATCTACTCACTGCACTGGTGTCTTCCTCTCAGTCCACATCTGTGACTCATGGAGGTCTACTAAGACCAGAGAGAAGACATTTAAGCCTGGTTTGTAGGTGCAGGACATGGTGGGCAGCAGCCATGGAGTGGAGTGCTGGAGTATTCCAGCTTCACATAGAAGTAGCAGGCATTCATTATCCACCAGGGTCTCTAGTAACCAGAAGCTGTTTCACAAAGGAGAATTACTATTTGCTGAAGAGCACATGGCTTAGCTCTAATCTCAGGGACATGTTAAGCATCATTAACCTATGGATTCAATCTGTGTTGTAAATCACCAACCTGCAGCATTATACTGTCTCATTTTGACTACATCAGACCTGTAGCCATAAGAAAAGGA